AATGTAGCGCGCGCACTACTCGTTGCCTGTCGCGCTAGACGACCCAAACACCTTGCGTTGAAACCACCGGACACGCTCTTAGCTTGCCATTCTCAGCCGCTCGCCGCTTGCCTCCCAGGCCCGCGAAGAAACCTCGCTCCGTCACCCGCACGCTGACGTACTCGGCTAGCCGGAACGAATAGACGGAAACAACGATCGCACTTAACATTCGCGAAAAAAATGCGTTTCTGTGAAAAAAGCAATAAAAGAAGATACAGAGCAGAGGAGGGGAGGGAAGGGCGAGCGAAGACGAGAAAAAAAGAGGAGTAAGAGAACGAAGGACAAGAGATCGGGAAGAAGAGAGAGAGCGGACGGAGAGAAACAAGGCACGCGGGCCTCACGGAGCGATATATCGCGTGACGGGGAGCGAGGCATTTTGCGTTCTGCCCTCCTCCTTGCTATGTGGACCTGCAGCAACCATTGGCACTGCTTTAGAGCGTCTATCGCCACACCGATTTAGCTTGCGACGGCCATCATGCCCAGCGGATTCCCGCTTGAGTTCCCTCACCTGACTCGTAACTGTGCGCCGTCGCGCGCCCGAACGCGACTGAGTGGCTTACTGCATATATATAACGTAGATCCTAGAGTATAGTTATTGTCATTGTTGTTGTTGTTGTTGTTGTTGTTGTTATTATTATTATCATTGTCATTATTATTATTATTATTATTATTCGGCACAAACTGCCGATGATTTTCGTTACATCTGCGATGAATATACATCTCAGTGACGGCGCATATATTTAATTAGTACACGTCTAGAACGTATATACTGCATATATATAACGTAGATCCTAGAGTATAGATATGCTTATGGTCGTAGTAAACATCGTTCATGTGCATGCATTAGCACATGCTACCCTACACATTTTAATTTTTCTCGTTGGTTCCTGACGAATGCAGGCCTGTTTGGCTCAACTACCAGTACGTTTGGATCCGCACCAAAAGATGCACAGGCGTCTAGTCCATTCGGCAGCGGAAGTGCATTTGGAGGAGCGAGTGCAGGTACTATATGGCTGCTGTTATGATTAAGGTTGGCTATTGGCATGCATAAGATAGGGTATATGCCAATCGAGTAATCGAAAGACTGCTTGTATTGACATCGGTCTCGAAGACCAGTCATGCTACTCGGGGATTTGATAGTATGTAATAATGTCGTTAATACCTAATGCGATGCTTGTTTGTGCTTTGCAGGGGGTTTTGGATCGCCACCAGCCTTCGGGGGAGCTCCTGGGTTCGGGGCTTCTCCCCAGGGATTCGGCGGCACGGCTTCCTTCTCTAACCCGCTGGGTGGTAGTGGCGGCAAGGTGTTCGCCGGGGATTCTACTGCAGGCTTTGGCGGGTGAGCCGTATAGTGTTTGACGGCCGTATGCGCGGCTCGTTCGTCGAGTGTTTGTTCTTGCCTGCACACATTAATTAATTCTTAATCATTAATTTCATTCATTAATTTTGTCGTTTGACGAACGATATTTATCGCTCGTGCATCGCTGGTGAAATATGGTCTGGAAACGTGCGTCTTGGCCAGAAGGGTGTATGCCTTACTTTTCTCTGTTAAACGTCCTCGTAAGATGAGGCGTAAATTCTGATAAAATGAGAGGTTAAAAGGTTTCGAATCTGCTGATCGTATATCCACCGGCGTATTCATGTCAACATAGTCAGTGTCTATGTGTAGCAGAGGTCTGGGGATCTTCTCTATAGGGATCTTCTCTATAGGACACATCCAATACACTACCCCGTGTGGATCTGTGACGAGTGGATACTCGGTATTCGCGTCAGTTCACGTTACTTACATTTATTTCCCTGTTGCATTTACTCAAGCTTTGCATTTAAGAATCTGAGAGCTCTCGGGACCATCTCTACGGAACACACATTCAATACACAACCCCGTGTGGATCTGTGACGAGTGTATACTCGCGTCAGTTCACGTTTCTTATATTTATTTCCCAGTTGCATTTACTCGAGCTTTGCATTTAAGAATCTGAGAGCTCTCGGGACCATCTCTACGGAACACACATTCAATACACAACCCCGTGTGGATCTGTGACGAGTGTATACTCGGTATTCGCGTCCGTTCACGCTTCGTGCATTTAATTCCTCGTCGCATTTACTCGCTCTTTGCAAATCGAGAAACGCTCGCAAACAAATTTCTATTTCCAGGGGTTTCGCCGGCAACAGCGCCGGTCCGACGTTCGGCTCGCTGGCCGCTCAGACGGGCGCCACGGGCTTCGGCTCCCTGGCTGCGGGCGCGCAGAGTCCGACGTTCGGCAGTCTACAGCCGCAGCAGCCGCAGCAGCCGCAGGGATTCGGTGGGAGTGCTGGAGGCTTCACACAGCAGCAGCAGCAACAGCAGCAGCAGCAACAGCAGCAGCAGCAGCAGCAACAGCAGCAGCAGCAGCAGCAGTAGCAGCAGCAGCAGCAGCAGCAGCAGCAGCAGCAGCAGCAACAGCAGCAGCAGGGATTCGGTGGGACTGCTGGAGGCTTCACGCAGCAGCAGCCGTCCGTGGGATTCGGGAGTCCCGGGTTCGGCGCGCCACCGTACGTTGTCCCCCTCGCCGTCGTTATTCTCGTTATCGTTACAGAATTATCGTTATTATCATTGTTAGTAGTAGTACTACTACTAGCAGTAGCAGTAGCAGCAGCAGCAGCGGTATATTGTTATAACAGTACATGCATAATCTCTTATCCGAAATTCTGAAACCGAGTTTTTTCGTGGAGGTAGTCTGCACACCAAAGCTCGCGTTTGGCTGCACAAGGTTCACTGCAGAAATATCAATGTGTTTGGCATTACTCAAACAATTGTACCTCCTTGATTAACATTTGTTTATAAATGCTAGTTGCAGAATACCGGTCATATACTGTAACTGTCACTACCTATTTCAAAATTCGAAAATTTTTCCATTTTTCCGAATCTCCGAAATGTAGTCTGGTCCCAAGGGGTTCGGATAAGTAGATTGTGTACTATTTTTGTATTAATTAATTATAATTGTAATTTTAACTTTATTTATTACCAACCGGCATTATATAACATTAAATTCTACTCCAAGATATACAGAACTATGCCTGTATAAATACATGTTTCGTCAGGGATCAAGAGCTGTATTGGGGCTGCAATCTACGAAACTTTAATCATTTTCTAGCGATGCGATACCGTTCACATAGGAAATCATCCAGAATGACAGACATCTTCTAGTAAAAATACCATGCATTCTAACTCTATTCTATACAGATGTTGGAGAATTCAACGTCTGCACGTATTGAAATGCTGAAGCATTTCGTTTTGTTATAAAAACGCAGTGTGGGGTCGATACGCTTAGTTTGTGTTGGCCAACAAGGAAATGACCTGCCCCCCCCCCCGCCCCGACCCCCATATTACGTGTTAACCGCGCATAAGTGATGTCACGTGCATAGACATGTGTAAAAGCTTGACCAGTCGGCTGACGCTACCAAACCTTCTAGGACGACCTCTCCCGTCTGCAACGTCGCATTCAGCCAATGGAGGTGAACGAAGTCAGCGAAGGAGAGCCGTGGTCGCGGCGTGATCTCATGAGGAGTCTGCCAGAGCGACCCAATCCAATTGGACAGACATGCGCACGTAACAGCGTGACAAGACTACAGGCATCGCATGCGAAGACTAGTCTGTTTCCACAACAGCTTCAACACAAGCAGAGAGTTGAACTGGGTGTAGCATAGTATTAATATCGTAGCTTGTAATCGAAGTGGTCACTCTTCTCTATCACCGGTAATATGAGGTGACGTTGTGACGAGACTTTGTTTGGAACCATATTCGCAGTTGTCGTGTGATATAGTCTTTTCGATATTAAAAACAAAGTCGGGGCTCGCCTTCGGAAAACGCGACGAGATTTTGATAAACGTTTAGTCAGAGAATAGTTTTAGTTTGCGCTATTCAATTCACCCATGGGTGAATAAAAACGTTTCTTTAATTCTTCTAAAGTAATAAACTATTCATTATCATGGCAGATTTTATTTTAGTTTTCCTTTTTAATTCATTGTAGCCAACTCAACATATATACAACACTGATCCAACATAGTCGCAATGGCGAAACAATGACAAACCTGACCTTCCATGTCATTTACAAATACATAACATGATCACATGATCTTATACAACAATGCAACACGCCAGCATAGAAAAAATGACAGCGAATGACTTAGATAAGCCATGCATGGGAAACGCAGGCAAATCGGTTAAAAACAAAAATTGCAGTTATGAGCTGAATGACAAATCAAAGATTGATGCCGAGATTATGGACCGTAGGAATTGTTTTGCGCCCTTTTTAGAAGTCAATTAGTTTAGTAGCATGGTAAAATAAGGATACTCTTCTCACTCTAGCCTAATGTAGACGAAGACGACAATCATAACCTGTAAATGCCAGTATCTCGGCACCTTGTGCCCAGTCCACCTGCCCCCGTACCCCGGTGACAATTATTGCCTCTGTAGCAGGAAACACCTACTACAGCAAAGCTGCCGGCAATCCACAAAAGCGTGTTCCGAAAATTGCGCGTAATCGGTTCTCGTGTACGCGCGCGCGTCTCAGAAGTTTGGCTTGTGTTTCTTCACCTCGACCATGACGTGGTGTATGTTAATGAGTTCGTTTCGCACGGCGAGGACCTTGTAGGGCGGGTTCGACAGAACCTTCTGGAACCTGTGGTAGTACTGGATGAGCTGCGTGAGCGCCCCCTGTAGGAAATAAAGAGAATCAATGTTACAATATGTTGCATCTTCATGTTATAGTTTCCGTTACAAATACGTAAAGTATTCATACACATGTACACATATATTACCTATAGTTAACTACCATTACACATATGCACATTACACATTACCTCATACTGTCATATATACCAATAACCTCAATATGTGACATTCTAAGGCAGTATATTCTGCTCGTGGCTTTCCAACAGCAGTTTTCTTTTACAACTAAAAGCCGTGTAAGAATGCAGTATCTAGAAATCGCTTGTTTATTGATATTTATGAATCGTCATCGTTAATAACGTGTACCTGCAAGATGGAGGTTCCGTTCTTAAAGTTTGTGAAACTCGTCATCACTTGCTGATTTAGATCATCTATCGCCTTCTTCCAGTCACTGTTGAACGACCGCACGATCATTGTCACTTTCTCTGCGAGGAGAAAAGAGAAAGAGGGATGCAACAATAGTTATATAGTTATAGTCAATATGAGTAATCACAATCAATCATCATAATAGATCATATAATAATACATATAATATAATAATAAATATATAATATGATAATATGATAATCTAATAATGGATAAATCACGAGACGCAAATAACAGTAAAGAATGCATGTCAACACGAGTTCGCGAAATATGTCCGGTTCACTTAAGAGAGGTTTCGTCGTGATAAATCAATGACGTGAAAGCTCGTTGAATCTGCATTCTCGTTAAATGTAGTGTTATAACTGCTTTAAAAAGACGTTGCAGTGTACACACTTTACCGATACGAACCGAGCACCCAGCCACGTTAATGGAAAATTAACAGCATTAAAGGTAATTGCTACGCAACCGACAGTTCTACCCTGTATGACAATTTTTAGTAAATGAGCAATAGGTAGGTCGAGTGCACTAGAGTAGATTAGTCAGGGAAGTGATGCGGCTTACGATGTGCCACTTACTTTCATCTTTCTTTAGCCTGTCTGCCTGCCCTCGTTCTATCATGTTCTCAGACTCCTTGACAAAAGTTATCATGCCGCCGAAATACGGCGCCAAAATCTCCTCCACGAATTCCTCCGTTCGTGCGTTAAGCAACTCCTTAAAACTTTCTGATTCCTTAGAATCGTCTGTAGTTCTTTCCTTTGATTAATACAAGGGAAACACTCTGTCATGCAATCCCAGTGTAATTAAACACAATGTAACCATGATTGACTTCTTCTATACTATGTATTTATGTACATTAACCAATGCTATTGCATTATCATACACTACATAATAGAAGTGCATAAGCCGCAGAATAAACAAAAACAATCCCATGCTGCTATGCTCAGCAACCACTTTCAGAACACTACACTGCTCTGTGTAACATACACAAATATTAGAAAAACATTTCACTCAAAACTGAGAACCACATATCTGCTATACCCACCTCAATACTGCTACTGCAAATTAAGTGCACCCCTCCCTCGTGACACAAAAATTAAGGTGAACAAAAACAAAGATGGTTGACACGATCGGCAGCATGCCAGGTCTCACAATGAAAAATTACTGAAACAAATATGGCCGACACGGTTGGCAGTGCGTTGCCAGGTCTGACAACGTTCAATTACGGAGACAAAGATGGCTGACCCGGCCGACAGCGTGATAATGACAAATATTTAAAACAAAGATGGCCGACACTGCGGCCCTCTGTTCTGAGGACAACAAGTCACGAAAAACAAAAGATGGCTGACACAGTCTACAGCGCACTGCCAGGTCTACCAACGATAAATAACGGAAAACAAAGATGGGGCCGGGTCTCTGGCGCGCTGCCAAACAATCTCACCATGATGACGGCGAGCATCATGTCGTAGTTGTTGATGAGGAAGATGAGCTGCTCCCGCCGCTGCGGGAACTCGGCGGCCATGCGCAGGATGAAGTTCTCGACCTCGCCCTGCAGCGTCGCGAGCAGACGATTGACGCGCTCGCTCGGGAAGCTCTCGTTCAGCCCGACGATCGCCGCCGAGAACTCGGCGTACCGGCGCGTGATCTGCGGCGACGGAGAGCGAAAACGAGATGACGGGTCGACGGAGTAGCAAGTTTGTAGTGGGAAGCTCGATCCTCTTCATGACGTGACACGAGGGCAGTGTGTGCGATCTTTCAACAACGATACACGCTACACATGCATATATGTATGTGCATATATAAATGTGTGCGTGCGTGTGTGCATGCGTGCATGTATATTTGCATATATATATACATTATATACAAATATACACACACATATATACATATGCACACATGGACACACACAGACACACATGCATGAACGCTTACACACAGACACATAATAACGTACGTATGTACTACTTGTAAAGTATTAATGGTACAGTGTCTACCCCCGTTCACATGGAGTGTGTGGTGGCGTACCTACATGTGGTGGCATACTGTGTGTGCACGTGCGTATGCATGTGTGTCTGTGTCTTTTCTTGTCTGTGTGCATACGCGCTGGCATGTTTATGTGTGTGTGTGTGTGTGAGCGCGTGCGTGTGCGTGTGCGTGTGCGTGTGCATGTGCGTGTGTGTGGGTGCATGCGTGCGTGCGTGTGTGTCTGCATGTCTGCGTGCGTGCGTGTGCCTGTGTACATTGCATTGCATGGTAGCTTACATAATGGGGCCGCACATCAATGGAGCCAAGCTTGCTTGGGTCGGTGTCCTTAATGCTCTGTATGTTGAGATGCATGATGTACTCGAACCTTGGCCACAGCATCTCCTGTACAGTTTCCCAGTACCTGCAAACCATATATACGAGCGTGATAACTTATCGACAAGGAAAATATATACACACACACTCTGTAAAAACTAACATCTCAGCAGCTACAGCTCCTGGTGTTCAATGAAGCCGTGGTTTAAAACTAAAGTAAACATGTATATAAATGATTTGCAGTCGCTTATAAACTACTGCATTCTTCAACGCTATGATTGAAGGACATCGATTAAGAAAACTCCGAAAGGTTGGAGAGATCCACGCAACACTGATAAGGAAAATAAAGAAAACATTTTGATAATAAATTTACGAACGTTTGCTAAATTAACATTTGCATCATCTGCACAGAGAACACAGGCACCTCCTGCCACACGAGCAACAACACATTTCAAGTTTCGCTGTATATATTTATATATATATATTCACATGGTAGCTTCAGGGTATATATTCAGTAGGGGCTTACTTGTCGAGTGCTGGTACCCCGCGCTTGTGCATGATCACTTGATAGCGGTAGACGATGTGGATGCACAGGAACAGAGCGATGGAGTCGTAACACTCGTTGACACAATACTCTAGGTCTTTCTGCAAGACATGTCAGAGTACATCGATAAAGCTTATCAACATACAAACCGTAATAACGCAGGCATCATAAAGTGAAATCATTGCTTGTGTCCTATGTAGATCATGTCCAGTTGTAGTGGATCTTACTTCCTAGATATTAACAAACAGTGATAGAGGAAACCATTCAGGTGAACAGACACTGAATAAAACCTTATCACTGTCAACAACTACCTCAAAACATTATGTTCTACTATAATAATAATAATTTGTTAATTATTACTTAACATGTTATTAATATACATATTCTCCTCCCCCTTCCCCCTCTCTCTCCCTCTCTTTCAATACACGCACGCACGCACTTATAGTATGCATGTAATGACGTTACTGGAAACGTATCGCCACACCATGGCAAAATAATGTAACTGCGAGTCTGCCCTCTCTCGCTCTCTTTTTCTCTCTCTCTCCTGCTCTCTCTCTCTCTCTCTCTCCTGCTCTCTCTCTCCCTCCAGCCGTCTCTCTCCGTCTCTCTCTCTCTCTTCTCAGCTCTCTCTCACTCCCCATCTCTTCTTCTGTCTCCGTCTGCTCTTCGCTCTCTCCATCTTTCGCTCTCATCTCAAAAAAGTCTGTCTTCTCTCTCTTCGCGTCCTCCAGCCTCCACTGGAATCATGTTCTCTCTGCTTCTGCCTCTCTCTCTTCATCCATCCACTGGTCGTCTCGTCTCTCTCTCTCGCCTCTGCTCTCTCTCTCCTCGTACTCCCCCTTCTCGCCTCTCTCTCTGCTTCCTCTCTCTCTTCTTCTCCACTCTCTCTCTCCATCTGCTCTCTGTCTCTCTGTTCTGTCTCTCTCTCTCTTCTCCTCTACCAGGAATGTTCGAGCGTCTTTCCTTCAATCACCATGTTAAGAGCATCCGTGCGCGGCGCGTGGCGACAGTGAAGAAGCTGTGAGAAAGAGGTACCGCGGCAGCCGTTGTCTAGCAGCGCTAGGCCATGCCCTGAAACAGCAGCCTCGTACGCATACATGAAGCAGAAGATGGAGCATCAGATACACATGGCACTGTCACAACACACGAACACTCGCAATCAGCTTCGCAAACAGTACTAGTGCCTCTGTATTCGTACTGTAAGCGAAGACGGAAGTCACGTCAACTAACATCGAACGAAGAAGTACTTTTTTACTGAAGGGTGAAGGCGCGCAAGGCTTATATGCTCACATTTTACAACATACCTCATTAAAAACCATTAAACATAAAATAATGATAGATACATAATAATAATAAATAATAATAGCAACACAACGACATAAGAATAATATTAATAAAACAAACAATAATAATACAATTAGTAAATCTTTCGCCCCCCCCCCCCGACCTTCTCTGGTCAACTTCTGTGCGGCGTGCGGACACGAGATCGAAGCCTCCAGCTCGCTCGTGAGGATTGTTGCCGGGGCTACTCAGCGTGAAGAATCGCTCGGACGCTGCTTCACGCATCGGATTCGATGAGAAGACGTCCGCGCTTCGCCGTGTTCCGTCGACGCGTCCATTCACGGTCCTCCTTAGTCAGGCGACGTCCTCGTACTGCGCAGGGGTAGAAAATATAACTTGGTGAACAAGCGACCTCCCAACTGACTCCTG